AAGCATACACCACACACAAGTTTGTGTAACCCAAAGTTCTGTCGATTTATAGAGCATTTTAAAACCCCAGTTGGTTAATGCCCCTTGCCAGCCAATCCCTGTCCCTCCTACTTCCAGAGGCAACCACTATTCTGATTTTTCTCCACAAAATACATGAATCTGTTCTAGAAGTTCATGTCAGTGAAACCATCATATGGTATGTTATTTTCTCGTGTAAGACTTCTTGCATAGGAAGAATGTTTCTGAGAATCATCCCTGTTCTTGTGTGTATCAGCAGTTTCTTTTTATTGCTGTGTGGTTTCATATTATATGAATATACCTTAGTTTATCCATTCTCCTGGGGATGAACACCTGAACTCTTTCAAGTCTTTAGCTGTTATGAAGTAGGTGGCCATAGGAGTTATTTTGTAGATGTATGTTTATTTCCTTTGAGTGAATATTTAGGAGTGGTCAAAGACTAGGTAATTCTTAACTTTTAAAGTAACTGCAAGATCTTTTTCCAAAATGTATCACTTTATACTTGCACCAACAATATATGAGAGTTCTGGTTAATCCACATCCTGCTCAACATTTGTTTTTTTAATTTGGCGGGGGCGGGGGGGGGCAGACTTTAGCTTTAGCCTTATGGTATATGTAGTGGTATCTTATTGTGTGTGGCTTTATTTTGCATTTCCCTGGTCCCAAATGATGTTGAGCTTCTTTTCATATGCTTTGTGGCCATACATATGTTTTCTCTTGTGAAGAGTTTGTTAAATTCTTTTTGCACCCCCCACCTTTTGTATTGGCTTGTTTGCCTTTTTACTACTCAGTTGTAGGAGTTCCAAAGTTAAATTCCTGCTTTGGTTTTTCTGGATGCCCTATGAGGACACACTCATGAAGGATTTTGCTCAGTCTCTTGCTCACAACCATGCTTCTACTTAAGAGCCAAATTTGATGGTGGACAGATCTGCCTAGATATACCCCAACCAACCAGAAAGGGGATGTCAAAAAGATATCTTTATGTCATTAGGCCCTCATCCTACTTCCATCTAGTGTTCTTCTCCCGCTACACATGGAATAGAGGCTTTGAGTTTAGATGTCGGACAAATCCCCACACCAGCTTTTAATCCACCGGAGCATGAACAACCTAGTGTCACTTTTCTTCTGTAAAATGGATAAGCCTATTTTCAGGGTTGGTATTAAAGACTAGAAATTATGTATATGTAGGACGTAGAATGTAGTGAGTGTTTAATAATATTGACTGTCATTTACTCAAACAATTCTTTGATGTAGGGTCTATGATCTCTTGTTTTACAGATAAGAAAACAGGTACAGAAACCAAGATATTGCCTAAGATCATAGTGAGTCATGAAGCCAGAACTAGAGTTCACACCATCAAACTCAAAAAAAAAAAAAAAGAGGAGCTGCCATCATTATGATTATTTTATATTCTATGCTTTCTCTCCTTTTGAAATTGCCTCTCCCCATCATTCAAGACCCACCACCTCCAGGAGACTTACCTTCTCTTCTATAGTGTTACAGTCTTCTGTGCACTTCTGCTACAGCCTGTGTTCTATTTCCGTTATCTGTGGCCCCATGTGCTCCTGAAAGAGCTCTTGGTCACCTTAGTATTCCTGTTACCTAAGCAAGGAGGCTAGTATACAGTAGGTGCTCAGCAATGTCTGAACAAACAAGTCACAGCACAGTTCAGAGTGTCCCCACACTGCCACACTATTCAGTGTCAAGTTCTGTGCATTCTTTAGGGACTGCTAGAGGATGCACCTTCCAGGGAATCTTTCCCCAAGTTGTGATCCTTCCTATTTCCTCCACACCATAGGATTCTACAGGATGAGACTGTCTTTATCCCTCCTCCCCAGAGTCTGTGATAAGTCTGTGCAGCAGACAGAAGAAGCCACACTGCGGCTTGGAGACAAAGCTGGGCTGCATGCTTTGGAGCTGGCTCCAAATCATCCTCTCCTCTCTGGGGCACTGTGTGGCCTCAAGAAACAGTCAGTTGGAGTTGCTGGCTCTGAAGGCTGGCCAAACCCCTGTGGTTTGGCAGGAGAAGAGATCATTGTCCAAGCAGGAAGTGGTCTTGGGTCTCAGCTGACCCTAGACTTTTCCAGGCAGGGCTGGGGCTCATAGCAGCCGAACTGGAGGCTCCCCGCAGGCTCACACACAATTCTGCCTCTCTGGAAGACTAGAGATCCCTTGTCCCCAGGCAGGCTCCCTGCCCCAAACCCCACAAATCTTAGCATCACTTGCTTGGAGTACTAAGAGATTTCTTGACATACTGACAGCAACCAAGTTAGTCTAGCTTCCCATCATTTGCCCTGGAGGGAGCAGGGTGATCCTGGGAGCTGAGAAGCCTTGTATAGCAGAGCCATAGAGCTCACAGGCTGCAGCCCAGGAGAAGGATCAGCCACAGTCAGGTGGTTGAGCTTTGCTACTCCAAAGGAAGACAGAGACCAAAAGGACAGAGACCATATCTTTTGTGTGCAGCAAAGTCATAAGCAATCCAGAAAAACTGGAAAATTTCACATGAGACTAGCCCCAGCCCAGTTTAGTAGATGATCTCAACTTGGACACAGAGGCTTTTAGACAAAAGGAACACAAAACTCCCACAAGTTTCTCGCTAGCGCTGGGAAAAAGCACTTAAGGGCTGTCACTTACAATGGTCTCCTGCAGGGGTGAAAGCAGGCTGGTACCATGGGAAGACTGCAGGCCCGTCACTCACTCAGCCTGGATAGTACAAAGAGCTTTGGGATTTAGGCTGAAGGCCACTGATCCCATGGGTGGCTTTGATGTCTGAAGGGAGGTGGAGGGGCTTATTTCTTCTGATGTGAGAAATGACTTGATGCCCCTTATGGCTGGGTCCTAGAACCCTCCTTACTCCTTCCACTCCCCTTCTCTCCCTGAGCACATTCACTCACTTACCACCTACACAGTGGTATCTCTATTTATCTTCCCAGCCTAATCCTCTCTAAATCCAACACTGATGGGTCCGATTGCGTACCCAACATATCCTCCCACAGGTCTTGAAAGCACCTCAAGCTCACCGTGGCCAAAAACAAATTTATGACCTTCTCTCCAAACCTGGTTCTTCCCTACACTCTCCATCTGGGTGAATAACCCTCTATATCATCCTATTGCAAGGGAGAAACAATTGTGGCACCCTTGACCTCTTCCTCTCTCACCTACTGCTCAAATCTTTTGGAATCTGTCTCCTAAATATCTCTTCATTCCTTCCACCTTTATATCCCATCCACCTCCACCCTAGTCCTGTTACCCACTATGTAGTATGTGGCAGTGATCAACAATCACCTATCACCTCCTGGATCCCAGGCATCCACTCTGGTGCTTTCCAGTCAGCACTCCACTGAGGAGGTTCTCACCTTGCTCCCTTCACTCCCCTCTAGTTGACTCCTAATTATCCTTTAGGCCTCAGCTCAGATGCCACTTCCTCAAAGAAATGCCCCCCACTCCCCTGACTGCTCTTAATAGGCTATTAACCTCTTCCTAGAACTTTCCAGATGTAAAACTAGATGCAGTTTTACATCTGGGCCCCCACTAGACTAGACTCCCATAAAAGCAGCACTGTGTCTTTTTTTTTTCTGCTCTACATTCCATCTTCAGTGTCTTACACGTTAAACACTGACATTCAATAAATATTTGTTGAATGAATGTCATTTATTTTTTATACCCTGCCTCCACCCAGTCAAGCTGATCACTACCATTATCTTTTTGTTAGATGTCTGTCCTCCTCCAGTATATTCTCTACACTGGCCAGAATTACCTTTTTAACAAACAAATCCAACCACTTGTAATCCTTCATTACTCCCCATAAAGTTCAGATTCATTAATGTGGCCTCTAACACAAAAACTACTAGTTACCTACCCAAAGACTAATGTCTTCTTGTTCCTTAGAAACATTACCCTGATTTTATCAAGATAGCAGTGTGCCCTACTAAAGGCCTATCCTGGCCTCTCCAGTAGCCACGGTGCTTCTGAGAGGTTTGAAAGGTAGTTCAAAAATCAGATGCACTGGTAATTCAGTGACTTGAAAAGGTTATTGTTTTTCCAAAGGCCAGAATTTTCTTTCTTCCAGATAATGTTGTGTCCCCATGTCTATGAAATATCTATAAGTGAAACATTTGTTGTGTTAGCAAGCTCTGGTCAATGAGATGAAAGTGGACGCCACTTGTTAGAACTTCCAAGAATGCTTTCCAACGTGGAAATAGGAGGCTGTGCTTTGCCCGTCCTCAGTTTCTTTTCCCACTTTCTGCCAGTTTCAAGGACATGATGGCCGGGCTCCAAGGGCCATCTCAGACAGCAGCTATCACTGAGAATTCAAGGCACGTAGCTGGGATGGCTGAGCAAAAAAGAGCCAAAAAGGACTCCGGTGTCTAATAACTTTGGAGCAGCCACATTGCCCTGGACTTCTTTTATATGAAGGAATACATTTGTATCTTAAGTCTCTGCCCTTTTACTAGCAGCTGAATTGAAACTTGATACAGGCTCCAAAGTCTTTCATGACTAACCTCTGTCACTCTTCCTTCTTGCACCTTCCTCTCCTTCTCCAATTCAACACTTGTGCCCAGCTGAATGTTTCTCAGTTCCTCAGAGCTATTTCTCTCCATATAAAATCTTCCCAAGCTGCTCTTTCTGCTTGGATTACAGCCCCCACTTGGCAAACTCCTACTCAGCCTCTGATCTCAGCTTAAAAATCAGTTCTTCGGTGGCTAGATGAGCTATTTTCTGACACCAGAGTCGTTGCTCATCATGCTACTTATTACACCATGAACCGTGGCATTTACTTGATTTTCTCTTCCAGAGACAGTAAACTCCTGAAGGCAGGGACATGGCCTGTCTTACTCAGAATTATATCCCAAATGCCTAGCATACATGTTCAAGAACTATTTTCTAAAGAGAGGGAGCACACAAGAGATGGGGCTGGGGTACAGTGTTGGTCAGATATAATGGGTCTGAGACCTCTGCAGTATAACACATGAAGGGGAATGGTTGGTATATGATTATTTGTTTATTATTTATACTGTGTCCTGTTCCCAAACAGGACATAGGCGAGCAGGATGGCTGAAGTACCTACCACTGCACAGGGAGTGCTAAGGAGTTCACATCCACTTAGAAACACGGGTTTAGAAGCCTCAACTGGAAGACTACAGCAGAGTCTGGGGGAGGGAAGGGTGCTAAGAAAAGCAGCAGCATCTTATCCTACCTCACCTTCCATCTCCTTGCCTGTAAGCCCTACCTCAGGAGTAAGCCAAAAACTGGTGGGAGGGTTGTAGCAGGAAAAGGTTAGCAGGAAAGCAGGAGGGTTAATTCCCAGAGAGGTACGCCATCCCACCATCCTTGCGCCCCCCTGGTGCCTACTGCAAATAAAGAGTCTGGTCTTCTCTGAAGTGGGCCTAGGGTCTCCTGTGGAGAAGAGCCAGCTCCACCAGTCTGTAGATGTAGGCCCACCGCTAGCTGCAAGCTCCAGGCTCTGCCCCTCCATCAGCCCCGTCCTCCTCATCAGATTGTGCCAAGGGCGTGTCTGCTCCACCATCGCTGGGATTTGGGCTGTGCAGGTTGGTGGAGTCATCGGAAGATGAGGAAGAGGTACGGGAGGCAGTCCTGTCTGGCGTAGGCACTGGCAGGCTCAGCTCCTCCGGATGGTCATCCAGCCCTGCCCCGAAAGAAGAGTTGGTCAGGGCTTCAGGGGACTCTCAGAGACCCTCTGGCCAGAAGAGGCTGAAGCCCAGAGAAGGGTAGGGGAGTGACCAGTAACTGAGCTAGTTTACAAAGAGCCAGGTCTCAGGATGCCTGGTTGACTCAGTGGTTACGCATCTGCCTTCTGCCCAGGGAGTGATCCCAGTGTCCTGGGATCCAGTCCCGCATTGGGATCCCCACAGGGAGCCTACTTCTTCCTCTGCCTATGTCTCTGCCTCTCTCCATGTCTCTCATGAATAAATTAAAAAAAAAAAAAGCCAGGTCTCCTGACTTCCAGTTCTTTCCACTTCCCAACACCATGTCTGGGTCCTGGAGTCAGGTCAATCAATTCAAGAGTTCAAGATCTATCTATGTCACTTACTTGCTACTGAGTTGCTTTGGGCAAGTCATTTTCCCCCTCAAGGGCCGATCTTCTCTAAAAATGGGATATGCACCTACATTCCAGAAGGGGTTTTGAAGATGAAATCGAGGACTGCTTATAAAATGTCTGGTATGGGGCGCCTGGGTGGTGGTTGAGCATCAGCCTTCAGCTTGGGGCATGAACCGGAGTCCTGGGATTGAGTCCCACATCAGGCTCCCTGCATGGAGCCTGCTTCTCCCTCGCCTGTGTCTCTGTCTCTCTCTCTGTGTCTCTCATGAATAAATAAATAAAATCTTTAAAAAAAAATATCTGGTATGCAGTAGGCCATTAATAAATAGCAGTAGCTTTAAATAAGAAAATATTAATAAGCTAAGTATATGGGCTTTGGAATAAGAAAGCCATGGTTTGAACCCAGCTCTTCCACTTTCTGGCTATGTAACAACTTCTGAGTCTAATTTCCTCCTTTATAAAACCAGGATAATACTGCCTGCCCTAATAGGACATTTTAGGGATTGAGGTAACTAAGCACAGTATTAGCAACCTAAAAAAAAAAAAAACATGTTGAGTAAATATTCATATGAAGATGACTAAAATGGCTTATCTAATACAAAAACCATATTTTATGTTATTTCAATTATATGAATTAATTACATTAATTTCACAAAAGGCAAAATTAACAAAGGCTAAGGGGTTGGGACATCCCAGAATCTTAGATTGGCGATCTGTCACCCAGTTTCCCTTAGGGTCAACTTCCCTAAAATCAGAACAGACAGCTGTTTCATTGGTAGAAACACCCACTTCCAGCCGCCACATGTATACTTCCGCAGCCCTGCCTTGCAGCCTCACTTCAGAGCCTGACACCAGTTCTGGCTAACTCATGCCCAAGTCCCCAAAGCCAAGGGGCATACCAGATGTCTGGGAGGCTGGCGGAGGGTCTTCACAAGGCAAGAACACATCTGCTCCATCCTGGTCTCCAAGGTCAATAAGTTCTACCTGTTCCAGTGCATCCACGTTCACTTCCATGGATGAGATACTACCTATGGGGGCTGCAGATCAAGAAGGGGGCAAGTCAGGAGGACACAAGCCAGAGCCCCTAGGATGGTTAGAGACGTGTGTCAGGTCTAGAGATAGACGTTTCGAGGGCCCAAAAAACAAGAGGAAGAGGCTCCCATGATTCAAGACCTATATGACCTACCCACCCCCCACCCTTGCCCCAGTCCCTCTCCCCAGGACTCAGAGCTTACGTCTCTGTGACTCGAGATGCAGGTGGGACAGGGGGAAGACAAACTCTGTCTCCGGCTGTAAAATTTCCTCGAAGAATTTCTGCCGCTCCCGAAGGCGGAGCTGCTGGCGCTCCAGGGCTCCCCGAGGATTTGGGTCCATGTCAGCTCCTGGAAGACAGAAGAGCAAGGATGGCTATGAAGTTGAGAGGGACTACAATGGGGGCCTGAACTTGGGGAACCCCTCTGTAGCCAGCATCCCGGTGTTACAGCCTGGACACCTCTGGACTGGGCTACCTCCTTCTCTTCTTTGACGCAGAATCCATTACCACAAACTTCACGTCTCATTGAGAGGCAGGGCTGACCCTGGCCCCACAAAGGGGATGCTGGTTCCAGGCACCGCAAAAGCAGCTCCTCTGTATTCAGAGAACAGAGCCAATAGCCAAGTCTCAGTATCATGCCCTTGTGAGAGGAGTTGCAGGGATTGGTCCAGTCCAAATGAGCAAGGCACTTTTAATGGACCCAGGCTCCCCTCAGAAGGCTATGGAAGACAGTGGGATGGGGATCTCAGGGTGGAAGATTATCTTGCTCCAGTGCTGCAACTCTGGTTCATGCCCAGCCTTCAAAACCCAGACAAAGACTAAAGCACTCCCTTCTCCCCCACACACCCCTTCACCACCATCCCCTCCAAACCCTGCTCTGAAGTTGCAGACCTGACTTCCAGACTTGGCTCTGCCCCTAAGGAAATCATCTTTCCAGCCTCAACCTTCCCATCTGAAAATGACTGAATAGTCCTACCTGCCTCAAACACAACCCAGCAGCTGTTGGTTCAGGCGCTCTGTAAAATGTAAAGCTGGGAGAGTGTGCTATTTAGAGGCCCCCCCCACCTCTCTTCTCCGCACTCCCCAGCTCTTTTTGAGCACCTCTTTGACACATCTCAGCCTTATATCCCCATAGTCAATGAGTAGCAAGCAACTGGGCCGGCGAGTCTTGGGTCCAATTCAGTCCAGTCCCCCACCCCCCACCCCAGGCGGTCCCCGGTGCTGAGAGCTTTCCAGAACACCAGAGCTCTGGGCCGGCCCAGGCCCTAAACATCCACTCGCATTCACTCCATCTCCTTCCTGTCAGCGGAGGAGCCCATCACCGGAGGCAAGGGAGTATCTGGCTTGAGGACCAGCTCGTCAACCTCCGTAGCCTGCCTCCCGCGCTTCATCTGGACTCAAGTGTCAGGAGACCCCGGGCAGCTCCACCCGCGCTGCTGCGGGCTTCGAGGGGCTCAAACCCAAGTGGGCCAAAGGCGGTGTGCGGAGACTGGGTGGCCGCCGGCTGGCAGCGGGGGCAGGGAGGCGCTGACGCCGATTCCTGGGAAAGGCTCTCCGAGCTGCCGCCCAGGTCACAGCGCTAAAAATACCCCGGGCCCCTGGGGCCGTCTGCTCCGCCGCCGAGAGGGGAGCGGGGAAGGGAGAGATCGAGGGTGGGGGCGCCCACGGGCGGGGGACGCCAGGACGCCCCCTCTCCCTAACCCCATCCATCTCCCGAGACCTGAGAGGCTGTCCCCAGGGGGCAGCGGAGCCGGGTCTGGGGAGAGGAAGGGAGTTGTTTACGCGACCAAAGGTGCTAGGATAAGGGAGACGAGGTCGGGGGAGCCCGGGGGGAGGAGGGTGGCCGTGAAATGCAGCGCGCCCCGCCAGTCTCCGCCCCACCCGCCCTGGAGTCCGCGGGAACAAGAAAATTCCCTAAAAAGGGCCCGGGCGCGCCCGCCGGTGGGGGGAGGAGGCGGTCGAGGGCCGCGGGCGTCCGACTCGTGCGGCCGGCCCCCGGCCCTGGCCCGCCCGCCGCCTCTGAGCCCCCGCGCCGAGCCCCTACCTGCAGCGCCCTGCGCCCCCGCAGCCTCGATCGCTCGGCTCCGGCGAGACAGCCCCGGGGGCGTGGGAGCGAGCCGCGCCGGCCGGGGTGGGGCTGCGCCGCCGGGGCTCCCGCGGGACCGCCAGGCCCTGGGAGCCGGGAACGAGGAAGCGTCGGGCGGCGGAAGTGGGGGAGGGGCGGCGACGGGCACCCGCGCCCGCCTCCCTCCCGGCCGCCTCGGGGAGCCCCCTCGGGCGCGGCCGCTCGCACTTGCAGGCCGGGCGAAAAGTTCCCGGCGCGCATCCTCGCTCCGCAGCTGGCCGCGCTCGTCCCTCCGCCAGCCGCCGGGGCGCTCGGCTCCGCACGCTCACATCCACTTGCTGCGCCGCCCTGGGCGCCGCAGCCCGGCTGGGGGGACACACGCGTGCTCTTGGACCGAGGCGCACTTGCTGCTCGCGACTCCCGGGCAGCCCCGGCGCAACGCACCCGCACCCGCACCCGCACCCTGGGCGAGCAGGCGCAGGCGGGGAAGGGAACCGGCCAGGGCGAGGAGGGCACTGACCCGCTGCCGCGCATCAGGGCAGGTGCGCCGCGGCGGAGGGCCCCCTGACCCCGGGACTCACCCGGCAGCCCGGGTTTCTGGCTCCGGGACCGGACTGAGCCACCGCCCAGCCTTCCAGCGCACTGGGCGGGGTGGGCGCCGGGCGGGGCGGGTCCGGGCAGCAGGGGTGGGCCTCTGCGCCGCGCCCCGAGACGCCGGCGGGGAGCCAAGTTCTCCAGGGCGCGAACAGGGGCGCTGCCGCGTCCAGGTTGGCGGGGGTGGAGGGGCGAGGCTCAAACTGCCGGCGGACGGAGGAAACTCTTGCCCCACTCGCCGCGCCTCCTGCTCAGACCAGCGCCAGAAGTGTCCAATCTGGCAGCTCCTGGACTGAGATTCTGTACCCACTCTTTTCCTCCTCCCTCCCACCTATCCCTTCGTGCTCGCAGCTCCAGAAGCAGCGGGAACAGGACGGGGTTGGGAGTGTATGACTTATTCCATAGGGTCATTCATTCATTCACTCAACAAACATCTGCGAGCAAGCCAGGAACTAGGAGTCATCCTTGGCACCTCCCTGTGCTGCGCTAAATTCACCTCCATTCCCTGTCGATTCTCTTTCCTAAATAACTTCAATCCACCATTCCTCTCCTTTTCCACCACCATCTCTCCCTTGGCTCCTCCACTTGTAGCCTTCTATCTGGTTTTCCTGAACTCACTCTGGCCCTGCTACACTCCATCCCCGCTCGTCCTCCCCCTCTCCCCCAACACACCGAAGTCAGCCACCATTTCAAAACGCGGGTTTGTGTTCCAAACACCACCCCCTGCTTGAATCCTTCCATTGTTAGAATAAAATCTAGATGCTGATATCTGAGCCTAATCTTGAAAAAATGAGTTCAACAAGCAGAGAAGAGGGGGGAAGGGCATGTACAAAGGGATGGAGTCATGACACATTCAGGTTTCCCTGTCAGGGGACCAGTACTGTACAAATACCCAAAGCGCTGCTTCTTTTGTTAATGGGATCGCAAAACAACCCTAGGAGAGAAATACAGCAAGCAGCTTTCCCACTATTTTATAAGCAAGGAAACTAGTTCGTGGGAGGCAAGTAGTTAAGAGCATGGGTGTGGTGGTTCAGACCCTCCTGGGTTGCAAACCTAGCTCTGCATCTAGCCAGCTGTGTAAATACTTAATTTCTCTGTTCCTTGATTTCCCTGCTTATTAGGTAGGAATAATTAATCCCTACCACTTATGAGATAATTCATATAAAATGCTTAGTACAGGAATGGGCGCTTTGGAGATGCTCAATAAACAGTAGGTGTTTTGATTGTAATGGGTTCTGAGAAAGGGAGGATAGTGCTTTCTTCCATGAATTTCTGAAATTATAGGAAGTATACCTTAATAGTTAATACTTCCACAGGGCTTATTATATATCTGTTGCTATTATAAGTGTTTTGCCTATATTAACTCTTTTAATCCTCTTAACAACCTTGTGAGGTAAGTACTATTATTATTTCCATTTTACAGATACAGAAACTCAGAGACAGAGAGGTAAGGAGGCTTGTCCAAGGCCATACAGCAAGTAAGCGATGGAATTCACATCCACATGGGCTGCTTTCAGAGACTGTGCTTGTAACCACTGCTCCCAGGCTGTTCCCCTTCCGTCCTGTTGCAGTTTTCAACTTCTAAGAAATGTCTGGTCAGTTTGAGTCTTATTCCTCATTAATGGATGAAGTAGATACTTGGTCCCATTTCCTCGCACAGGGGAATGAGGCCAACTCAGGAGTATGTTGGATGAGAGCTCAGCTCCCAAAGCTACTTCTCCCTTTTCCAGGCTTATCCCTAGGAACTTTGAACTCTATGGATTGTTTTGACCTGTTCCTAATATGGTGACAGATCTGGAACCTCCGTCCCTTCTCTTTGCCAGATAGTTGTCACATGAAGGGGTAGAAAGGGAAGAGCATCTAAGCTAGATATAATTCAGGGGGCAAAGCTGGAAGGGTATTGGCCAAGGGAAAGACCCAGGCAGCATCCCCAAGAGCAGATGGCAAAAAGAAATGAAAGGAGCCATGGAAAAGTAGATGGCTGAGACTTCTGGCTTCCATCCAGGACACAGAAAGCTAGGAAGAGCTTTTTTTTTTGAAAAAAATCCACTTTACTGAGTGCTTTTTTTTAAATTTAAGAACAATATTGAAAAATTGTCAGGTAGTCTATAAAATTACAACTTTTGTCAAACCCATCAGAGAGCTAAGGTTGGAGAGCAACCAATTAACCTGAATTCCAAAGGAGGCCAGGAGCCCTCAAGAAGAAATGGGACGCAGGCAATGGCACACTTGTGACGAGGCCTCCATGCAGACAGGTAAAAACAGTTCGTTTCATTATGCAGATCTACATTTCTTTCTGGTATCATATTCTTTCTGCCTCAAAAAGATCTACACAGAGAAGTAAAGATCCCTAGAAATGGACAGAATAAAGGTAGATATAACATTTTTGGTTTTAATCACCTTAAAAGACAACTGAATAAAGCAAAAGAGTTGCAATACACTACTCTTTGGCTTTAGAAGTCATGGGGATGTAAAGTGCAGCACAGGGAATATATAGTAAATAGCTTTATGTAAAAAAAAAAAGCTTTATGTGATGACAGATGGTAAGTACACTTACTGTGTTGAGCATTTAGTAATGTGCATAATTGTCGGGTGGCTATGTTGTATATCTGAAACTAATATAAAATTGTATGTCACTACACTTCAACTTTTAAAAGTAGCAATATTTTGTGGATAGCTAGC